ATTCCAACTAGTAGCAAATTACTAATAAAATCTACACTTATATAAAAATCTGCTTTCAAATTGACATTAAAAATGTTCAAGCACAAACACCAAACCTAATTAAAGCTTAAATCAAACTCTAATTTCAGTGTTCACACTAGTCTACGTTTTTTTAATTTCTTGGACTATCCTTCTATTCCTTATCAACTTCTAGTCAACCTTATTTTCACTCTTTATTTATCAATCCACAGTACTATTTCTATTGTTTCTTCTAAGCGGTAACAAAATATGTTGCTTCTTCATTTTGCAGATTAGTTGTGAGGTCAAATCCTAAAAATATCAAAGTATGAGTACTACTAATTATTATATATCGTGATTATGCAATTTCAAAATATTGTATTTATTTGTAGCCTTAAATTTCTGAGAAAACATGAAACAAACCATAAGTAATTAAACATGCAATTAAAATTCATATATTCACTTTACACCTTCAGTAAATTCCACTTAAATCGAAAATTGTTCCGACCTTGCTGACATTCTAATGTCCCTTTTGCAGCTTCCAATAATTGGAATTTGCAATTATTGCAAATTAACAATAATATTGTAGTTTTAACTTTTATTTGTTTATAAAAGTGACATTAGGAATACATTTAATCCAGAGACAATATGACGGAATAAGGTGCTACGAACAGCAGCTCGCATCTACGCTGTCGACTTTGCGGTAATGTATCGACATGCCTCTTGGCTACGAACGAAGCGTTTTCGACAGTACAATTACGCAAAAGCGGTAGTGTATGTAGAATACTTTTCGACACCAATATGGCTAGACCCCCATGAAAATGATAGCTCGTGTCGACAGTCGGTAGCCTAGGCCCTAAAGGCGTGAGTCGGGATACAATAAGCGACGCCATGACAGTGCTACGAAAAGACACACATTAACGCTTACGCTATTCGGTAGCCAACGGCCAATTAATGTTTCGGCAGTGTAGAAAAAACGGCGTTTCTCCGCCATGTTTTAGCGTGATCTCAAAAGCTGCTGTTTGCAATAATTCAGTACAACTATCGCCATTTTTAATGGCTACTGTTTTAAAAACATGTCATATTTTGGACATTTTAACGAAATGGTTTTAATTTGTTATGTCTTTTTTTAACGTTCTCGTGTAATTATAATATTTTAAACTAGAGTTAATATTTTTAAGTTAAGAGTTTTAGTTTTTCTATGAATCAATGCGAGGATAACATAATAGACACAGATAAATATGAAAATATCAAGAAAATCAGCAAATTAGTAGAGGTAAATCCTAGTTATATTGGATATCTTTTATTGATATTTATATTGCATGTAAGTTCATGAAATTGTTCTTTAATTTGAAAAATACATATACCATTTAATATTGCATATATTATGTAATCACAAAGTAAAATGATTGTACATTTTATTTGTATATTTCAGATGAGAAAGCAGTCACTAATGAACATAATTAGAAGTTCTAAATATATTTTATTGTAATTATAATAGAAGCTGATAATGATATAATATTGATTTTAATTAATCAAATAAAGTAGATTTATACTTTATGAACTTTGGAAATATAAAATCTAGTGAGCAATACTAAGTAATGGTAAGCAGATATTTTCTTTAATTATTTACTAAGTCAATATACTAGAGAATTTATTATAATATTGTTAATGAATGAGAAGTTTGAATTCAAGTCCCTTGGGAGTTACTGACATTGTTGGGTTATTAAAAACTTTAATTGACAATAAGCAGCAAAGTGACAAATTAAGTATATTTTTAAGTTTAGAATTAAGTAAAGACTTTTAATATTAAAGTTACGTATTGATCAAAGCACTAACTAAAATATTTTATTTTCAGAAAAGAGAAGCTAATAAGGCAACTAAATATATTAAAAAAACCACAAATGGACAAGTTTTTATTAAAGTCTTATCTTTTAATTAATTAAAGTGTTATATTATGTACCTGAAAATGAATTTGATAATGGGGAACGAAGCATTTAATGAATAATGTAAAATATAAGACAAGTGGAGTATGAAATAATGGTTGGTTAAGTAACATTACCTCAAGAACAGGAAACAGTAACTGAAACTATGTTCTTCCACATTTAATCTTAATAGGTTCAGCACTTTGAATGTTAATGAGATATTATTATAAACAAACTGCATTTGTAGATTTTGGGAAGAATTATATCTTTACAATAACTATTATTATTTACAATTGTTGTGTTAAGGACACAATCACTATTTTTTAATCGCCCAGGATGTATTCATAGTAACTGTAGGTATCATAGTAATTTTATGAAATCATCACAACATTTAACGTTAGGTTTTATGAATTGAACAATTTTATGTATATAACAGCACACAAACAAGATATTGACATTGCTGCAAATTAACACTTACATTAGTTAAGTATCTACATATATGAATACATCTACATTAGGTCGTAATGCATTTAATTTGGTGCACCTGCGTGTGTTCAGTAGTAATGTCTGTATTGTTTAATAAGTTGTTACATATGCTTATTTTCCTATGTAGACTGCATTATGTTAAGGAAGATATTTGGTGCCTTATTTTAATAAAAATAACCATAACTGAAACATTTTTATTTTGCTACCTGTTTGTTTAACATTCCTAACTATTAGTAGGTATGGGTCATTCATATATCTGTATATTCTTGTAAAATAAACTAATATTGTGAACCACTTTGCTTTGTGACCAATGGCTTTTCCTACTAAAGAAGACATAGGTAAATTACCTAAAATAAAACTGACAAATACATAACATACAATGTTTATTCATTTCTTACTTAAACAGATTTTGCATTTACATATTAACTAGTAGCAAATCACTGATATAACCAAAAGTTAAGTGACATAAATATTAACTTTAAATCAGCATCAAACTTAAATTTATATCTAAGATGTTGGAGCATCAATATGGAGTCAAAGGTTGATTAAGGGTTATAATTTCATACCAGACTAAGTTTCTATTTTATAATTTTTATTAATCCCTCTTTCCATTTAATTGAGAACTTGCTGTTTTTCAATTCTCACTTTCTAAAAGTATAAATATATTATAAACAATCAACCTTTATGACTCTAACTTAAACTGAAATTGTTTGTTGGACATAAACAGAGATAATTCCAACTAGTAGCAAATCACTAATAAAATCTACACTTATATATAGGTAAATGTGCTTTCAAATTGACATTAAAAATGTTCAAGAACAAACACCAAACCTAATTAAAGCTTAAATCGAACTCTAATTTCAGTGTTCACACTAGTCTACGTTTTTTTTCTATTGTTTTTTATTTCCTTGGACTTTATCAACTTCTAGTCAACCTTATTTTCACTCTTTATATATCAATCCACAGTACTATTTCTATTGTTTCTTATAAACGGTAACAAAATATGTTGCTTCTTCATTTTGCAGATTAGTTGTGAGGTCAAATCCGAAAAATATCAAAGTATGAGTACTACTAATTATTATATATCGCGATTATGCAATTTCAAAATATTGTATTTATTTGCAGCCTTAAATTTCTGAGAAAACATGAAACAAACCATAATTAATTTCAACATGCAATTAAAATTCATATATTCACTTTGCATCTTCCGTAATTCCACTTAAATCGAAAAAATTTCCGACCTTGCTAACATTCTAATGTCCCTTTTGCAGCTTCCAATTGCAAATTTACAATAATATTGTAAAGTTTTAACTTTTATTTGTTTATAAAAGTGACATTAGGAATACATTTAATCCAGAGACAATATGACGGAATAAGGTGCTACGAACAGCAGCTCGCATCTACGCTGTCGACTTTGCGGTAATGTATCGACATGCCTCTTGGCTACGAACGAAGCGTTTTCGACAATACAATTACGCAAAAGCGGTAGTGTATGTAGAATACTTTTCGACACCAATATGGCTAGACCCCCAGGTGCTAAATACATTCGGTTTGTGCTCTTGTGTAGGGTATAATGTGGCTCATATTTGGAAAATTTATTGATAAAGTTTTTAACAATTTGAATTTTATTCTGTGGAGTTTATTTTTTAACTCTAGACAATCTGCCATCACTGACACCAAATAGCTTTTGAAAAAATGTTTGGCATACAGTTACATATAAGTCATCACCATTAAGAACTTGATACACCCTTGAATTTGAACGCCTGGATTCAGCAGAAGCAGTGCATTTCTTTTTTGGCATTACCTTAATTAAAGAAAAAAGGTAAGATGTCTGCAATTTTTTTGGTGCAGGGAGTGTTAACCCTTAGAAAATCTGACGCGCTCGATTAAATTTTTTTTTTCATTTTCAACCCTTAAATACAACCACCCGCATCATGCAAACGATCAGAGTAACATACGTACATTATTAAAAATACGTAGGGCATTGATGCTATCAATATCTGACGCGCTCGAGGATGTCCATGCAACAGTTTTTTTTTTACATATTTAAAAATCTATAGCCGCTTCCCCCACCGATGTAAAGGTATATATCATTTAACATTTTTTTCTTCTTATCATCTAAGCTTTGCATCCTAATATGTAGGTCTCTACGACGCTCGAGTAAATCCCCATTTAGCATCGTGGGCTCCCCTACTATAATCAAATGAGTACTGTCATCTTAACCAGACCAAAAAAAAAAAAGAATACTGTCTATTGTCTGACTGACATACATTTCACCAACTGACATTAACTTTAAGTTTTAACATTGACATACAGCGTTCCACAGTGCACTTGCCAGTTGCCAGTATTTTTTTATTCTATAAATTATAATTTAATTTTTATTACCGTACACGGTAGTCGGTACAGTACATTATTACCGTACTATGTATTATTCGTAGATATCTGTGCTATTAATTACAATTTACAAACTGTAATAAGTACTGTATAAAGTGATTAGAAATGACTAAAGCCGGCATTTAGAGAAGTGTAGCAATTTCAGCCAAATTTATTTGAATTACCCAGACCTTTCAAGACGACAGAAGAAGCTTCAGTATGCCTTCCGTAGTAGCAGACCGTCCTCGTGACTGTACTTCTTGCAGAATAGTTAGTGCTGTTGGTCTAATCGGCATTGGTGGCTATTTAGCTAATGTTGCTTGGCAAAACAAAACAACAGCTGGAAAAGTTGCTATATCTACTATGTCGCTTGGTAAGTATAAATAAACCTTAAATCGGTGTGTCTAATGATTGGCGCTAGGGAAGAGGTTAATTTGTATATGAATCTGCGCTTCATTATTCCTGTGTTTGATTTAGGATATCATTTGAAAGAGAATATCTTAGATATAATCAAATCCATATCCCAAATCTATTGAAGAGATTCAATAGTGAAGCCAGATCCATATCTTATTTTAAGAAACAATGAGTTTAAATTAGTTTATATATTTCAATTAAAGGTAAATATATTATAATATAATACCTACATAAGAATTTCAAACAAATTAGACTGCTGTACAGTCTGATTTAGATTAGAGGAGATATTAAAAAGCAAGATTTAGTGTAAACTGTGACTACCAATTTTAAAATCAAATTCATTTTTCAAGTACGGGAGTCAGATGTAGCATTAGGTCTTATTTCTGAATCTTATCCTTAGCCCATGTCCCATGAAAGAAATGATAATCTTATAATTTGCTAAAAAATAACAGTTCAGATGTTGCATAAACCTTATAAGCTTGTCTATTACATTATTTTGGCCTAGATAAGTAAAAATTCATGGCATTTGATATCTTGGATACTCTACTTGATTGTTGTTGTTGGATGAAACTTATTTTTGCATAAATATAATTGTAACTATAATAACTTTGTTTAATATAAAATTAAGTAAAAATATTAACATAATGTATATGTATGAATGTCAATAAAAAAATTTAAATGCTTCTAGGTTTATATTTACTTCCAGTTCTCAAATCAAGGGCAATTAATTAATAAAAAAATAAAAATGTAAATATATATGTTTATGTTCTGATGTTTCTGCTATGGTATTGAGTATGCCAACTAATTTTTATTAAGTATACCATTATTATGTTTAGAAGTCAAAATGAAGTATGTGAATAATGCAATTTTATTTTCAGCATTTGTGTCTCTGGGTATTGCAAGATATAAGCAAGAGTATCCTTTTAACAAAAAAGACGATGATAGAATTGTTTAAGAATAATAAAGCGTGTAATAAAATGTATATAATGTTATTTTAGTTTGTACTTTGTAAATAGAGTTTTAATAAAATATAAGAATAATGAATTTGATATTTTATTTGTTGCAGCGCCATCTAGTTTGTATGGCGTGTACCTGCTAAACTAAGATTCAGTCTGAAAATTATCTAGAAGATGTACATATTTTTTAATACTACATACTTGCTCATTTTAATCAACAGTAATAATAGACCTTTTGCGAAAAACGTTATCGATTTTGAAAGTTTAAAATTTACAAAATTGTGTTGTAAAAAGTTGCAGCTTAACCAACAACAATTTCCTTGGTAATACTTATTGGTAGTATTGGCTCAAATTTTTATTAAATTTGTTCCTACGTGTTTACAGTATTATGCTCTAGTATATCTTATTAGGCTTATCTATTCTTAAATAAGCTCGAGAGTGCGTACTTAACTCTTCTGTTTTCTTTAAGGACTCAAAAGGTTGGTGAACTCAGTTTCCGCACTCAGACTAGACTCACTAAGTCCGTTGTGCGTAAAGTCATGGCTAAACAGTGGCGTAGCTAGGTGACCAAGGGCCCTGGGGCAAATTAAAAAATGGGGCCCCACTGCTATGTAAACTGATTAGGATTTATCAAATTAAAATATGAAATATACAAATAATTTAAAAATGCTAAGCTACGTAAGCTCTAATTTGTGCAGGGCAGGTAATAAAAATATTAAATAGTAACAACGTAAATTACAATTAATACTTGATGTAGTTTTGGCGAATAAAATGAAATACAGAAGATTCAAGGGTCTATTATATAAAGGTCGGGCCTACCAACTGACTAAATAACAATTATATTTACAATTTTTTCCTAGCTTTAGTTTTCGCAAAAGTATCAATGACTTCGTTTAAATCCAGGCTTGATGCGGTTTTGTTTTCAATTGCTATCTAATTCGCGTTATACTGGGTGCCGCACAAGTACTGGCACTAAAGAAAATTTGTTTATTTTTTTTATATGACAGTTCCTGTCATTCTGTTGTTGAAAATTGTGTAGTGAACAAATGTAAAATACACTGAAAATAAACATGGACTGTTTTACTTCCCAAAAACGTGGATTAATCGTGTCAATGTTCTTACGGAATAATTCATCAGTGACAAAAACACAACGTGAATTTCGTCGACGATTTCCCCACCGTCCGGCACCGATTGGTCGCACAATCCGACGCTTTGCCACACGCCTTGAAGCAACTGGCTCAACATTGGATAGACCTAAGTCTGGGAGACCAAGAACAGGACGTTCAGCTGAAAATATCGATGCTGTGCGCGAAGATGTGGAAGAGTGTCCAGAAACACCAACGAGGCGACGTGCCACGCAATTGAGCATTTCCAGACGGACCCTGCAGCGTATTTTGGTGAAAGACTTAAAGATTTTCCGTAAGAACATTGACACGATTATTCCACGTTCTTGGGGATTAAAACGGTCCATGTTTATTTTCAGTGTATTTTACATTTGTTCACAACACAATTTTCAACAACAGAATGAAATGAAATGTCATATAAAAAAATAAACAAATTTTCTTTAGTGCCAATACTTTTGCGCCACCCAGTACAATGAGCTGTAGCCGAAATCTTTAGATTTGACACGATTTATTGACTTTACCGGACATCAATATGAGTGGTAAAATCAAATAAAATTGAATCACTATATTGACCAGTACAAAAAAGTTTATTGACATTAGCTTACTTACTCCTGATACAGCATGAATTTTTTAACCGTTCTCAAAAAAAAATCTTAACTCGAATTCACAATAAAATGCACATCGATGAATAATAAAATGCACATATCACTATCCGTCAAATTGTCAACACTGCCAACCTACAGAAAGAATTTAGCGGAATTCTCTAGGCATAACTTTTGAATTTCTCTCAAAATTATGTCTTGATTAAAGTGGGGTTGTAACCTGTCATATTTATTTTGAAAATGGGAGAAATTTCCAAAAGTTCAGAACGATCGAGATTTCTGGTGAGGATTCGAGGGCCCCCGAGCTTGAGGGCCCCGGGGCACTGCCCCGCCTAGCCCCTTGGTAGCTACGCCACTGTGGCTAAACAAAGCCAGCCTAGCTACTTCTAGAAGCACAGGAGTCGCCAGGGCATTTCGCAGGCTTAATGGAGCGACCTCACTGCTCCGAGTATTTATGTACGTTGGTTAGCCACATTCACACAGGACTACGTAGGTGACTGATTTCTCTACTCTGAAACAGCCACAGCACATGTGACTGTCTGTCGCGCCTAGGACAAAAATATGTTTATTAAGGAGACAATGGCCCGTAATTGTCCATAACATTGTTTTGAGATTAGTTCTGTTGAGACTTAGAAGTCGTCATTAGCGGTTTAACTGCTGGCAGAGCCATTTTGGATTGTCTGCAGTCCGCTTTCATGACCATCGGTGATGTTGGAGTTCTGTAGATCCAGTGCATTGTGATACTCCAGTATCAGTCTGTTGTTTGTCTTTTTCTAGCACCATCAACACAGACGCACTGATAAATACGCACTTAGTACACAAGGTATTAATTTCGGTTACATATTCACATTGAAAAATCGAGCTGTGTGTGCCTAAGGACAGGTGATGATATATTGATGTTGAGATCAAGACAGAATATGTTAGCGCCGGAGCCACACCCTGTTTTTGAGCCATCGGTGGATATGCGTAGCTCATTCAGGGTCGATTGATCACATTCCTCTTCCTCATTTGTATCATATATTTCCTGTTGAAAATGTGTTGATTTGCGATCCTATCATATGGGCTATGAGAGGTTGAGAATCGCTGTGTGTACTGTAGTAGTTTTTTTCCCCAAAGATCCAGGGGTAACGCCTGATGGCAGCAAGTGCTGCCTCCTGATGTATCTAGAGGTCTAGTGGTACAATTTTCAGGGCTATCTCCATCTCCAGTTGGCGATGTTTTCATGCAACCGCTAGCAGCGGACAAGGCGAGTCTCTAGAAGCGTCCAAGTTTTGTGATTACCGTTCGGAGTTCCGTTCTCGGCCACCAAACCAGGGCTCCGTAAGTAAGCATTGCCTGATTACGGCAGCGTAAAGCCATACTGTTATTTTATGCGATAAACCCCATTTGACGCTAACCATCTTTTTTCATTAATAGAAGGCGATAGTTGCTTTTAGTTTATACTCACTACTCTACATGTTCCTAGTATGCTCGTGAAATTTGTTTTATTAAAAGCGCCTTCATTGTCAATAAATGCTCCTTTAAAGGGTTGACTGCTGTAATTTCAGAGATGTCACACACACATACACACATACACACACACACACACACCAAATTTATTTTTAAGACTCCGTTTGCAATGTTTTCTTTTAGCACTTAATACTTATTTTCTTCTATTGTATCTTATGACAATGACATGATTGTACGTGTTCCGGTCCGGTGTGGAGAGGCTGGCTATCTGTCACTCAGGTCTCCTGTTACAGAGACCAGTCTCTCACATACACTTCCTAATGTTATCATCTTAGTTTAATCATAAAAACCTTGTATGTATATGTGAGAGAAGAAAATAAAGATTATTATTACTAAAAAAAAAAAAAATGGGAGTCACAACGTTGTGGAGTGATGATTCTGTCGATATGCCTGAGCTGTAGTGTTGATTTGGATGTCAGAATTCAGATAAGGATACCTGGCTTCGTATGTCCAGGTCTCCCAGCCTCCAGCTTTTGTGAGGCCGATAGGTCTGAACGATTTCGCTTGGGTATAGTCCTCGCTAGCTGGTTTTGGAATGAATATGATTTTGACTTCCCTCCATTTCAGAGGTATACAGCGATGCATGCTCGGAAAACTGGGACAAGATATTCTACTATTAGATTCCCACTCCATCTTAGTAGACCTGGGAAAATGTCATCCAAGCCAGCCGCTTTATATGGTAGGAAGGAGTTGATTGCCCATGTTACTTTTTCTTTGGTGATTATTTTGTCAGCCACATGCCAGATTGAGCTGATGATGGCTCTTTATGAAAAGAGTTGCCATGACTGGTCGTGAGCAATTATAACCTCTAAGAGCCCGAATTTTCATCCGTTGGAAACACAAAAAATATCAGATTTTTATCAAACATACCTAAATAAAGTCCAATCCATCTTCTATCCAAACATACCTTTATAGTCCACAAGTTTAAATAACATCAACGTATGATATTTATAGGCATTATTGTAAAGGTGTACACGCATGAGCACTTATTGCTTACTGAACTCTTGGGTCCAAAAAGGGTTCATAGAAATCTACATAGAAAAAGCCGAATTGTGCAAAGATATATTTGCCACATTGAAATGTTTTCTTTATGCTTAGTAAATTATATTCACAAGTAGATAACGCAGACTTCAACGTTTAAATTCATACATCAGGTATATTATAAACATAGATAATTTTTGCAGCATCTTAAAATTCAAAAATCATTTAATTATATAAGTAACACATGTACACTTATGATCGTCAAAAAAAAGAAATGTATATGACATGCTTCTAACTTTACATTTAGTGCCAGTTCTCAAATCAAGGGCGTAGAACGGAAGAGAAGAACTGGCAATTAACTCTCCGCCACTCTTTTTAATCGCCATGTTTTTTAAGTTAAGTTTGATTCGCCGTAAATGTTGCAAATGAGTCTCACCGTGCCATAAGGCCAGCACTTCCAATACAAACAAACACAGAAGCGAGAGTGTATATCTAAAATCAGCGTCCAAAGTAATCTCGACGCTCCAAAGTAAACAGATGACACTGAAAATCAGCTCTGAATAACAATGAACTCATCCTTACAAGCTTTTAGTAGACGTCCGCGCTAACGTAACTAAATGAATGGTATTACTCGATTAGGTCGATGCAATAATGTCAACATCAGGACAGATCGCAGCCACAGTATGTCGCATGGCAGTATTATTACTCGTACTGATGAAGGTGCTTCAGGTATTTTTATAGAAAAGGGGGCAAATGGACAGCTGGTTCATCTGATGTTAAAGAAAGAATGTTTCCGGTTTAAGAATTAGTACGCTCTTTTATTGAAGGACCCTAAGTCTTATGTTTTATAAGAACCTTATGATCAAGAAGAATAAAATTATAAAGTCTATATCGAAACCTACACGTATCACCGCTAGTAAGACGTAGATGTATGTAAATACAGACGAATATAGACGTTATGTTTTGAATACGGCATAGTATTATTACATATACTGACAATAGAAAACCCATAGGAGACCGGGGACAGTGGCCGTTAATCAAACGAGTTATGGATTGAAGTTACTGCCTTGATTATATTCACTGTGTCAGACCGAAGTAAACAAGTCGCGTTAATGATAAGACGTCGCCGCCCAGAGCAGACGCGCGCCCAGCCGTCCGCCCAACATTAAAATTAAAGCGTAGAACAAAACAGCTGATGGGTAAGAATTAATTTTAATCATAATTTTATTTCACTAAATTATTGCTTTCGTATTTAACGATTGCGAGGGTACCATATGGAACACTTTTCCGTCGTGTCAGTTTATTGCCTTTTTAGATTGATTTAAAAACAAATTCATGTATACATTGTACTTTAGTGTTATTACTGTATGACCTATGAAGACTTAGCTACTATTACAATTTTGTATGAATATTTTCTACGCGCATGTTTTTACAATCTGGTAATGTTTGCACAGTAATTAAGCAAATCAAACAACCGTCTAAAATTGCTTTTTACAACATTTCACACCGTATTTACGATGTCTACAATCTGCATAATGGACAACGTGACTCTTGGACGAGAAACCTTTAGCTCATATTAAGCTGGTCATCCGAACCGTTTATAGCTTCTGGCTACTAAATTTCATAGAAAGGTTCCTTTTTTAAATTCTATACAGACTATAGCTTAGCTCCATTACAATAAATGAGGTTTATCGTGGCAGAAAACGATCGATGTTGTTCTATAGTATAATTTTGTTATCTTCAGATAAGCCGTGGGCAGGGAACGTGTTTAGCGAGGCACCTTGGGACGACAGTGACTACGTAATGGATGAATATCATAGAGATTGGAAAGAAGGGGCTACCAGAAAAATTTTCAATAATGTTTTGAAGCCTGAAGCACGGATTGCACGTGAAGGAATGGGAAATGTTTGGAGTGGTGTTTTGGGAGCAATGTTGGGCGCTGGAACTGTTCTTATAATTGCCGTTTTGCTGTTCATATTTCGACGCCCGAAAAAGCTGGAGAAGCCCTCGCTGACGCCTATGGAAGTTAGTCCAAATGTGAGTAGCAGCTTAATCTTTCATGTTTGCTTGAGATACTCTTATCACGTATAGAAGGCCCAAATAATAGTGTATTTGTGTTTTTTTGTGAGATTTCTAGAGAGATGTGAAATTTCACTGCGTAAATTGCTTGCGATGCGCGATGCTCCAACAACTTTTTGAAATTAAAATGTTTGATAATGTTATAAAACTTGATATTAATTTATGTTAAGATGAATAGGTAAATAATTTTAAATAAACCAAATCACAAATCTCGTACGTAATATCTTTCATATAAATGAAAAATCAAAATTGCGAAAAGCGAACGTAAGCCACAAATGTTACGTTGATAAGGAAAAATTATTTCCGTCTTAGAAGTCGGAAGAAACAAAGTTAATGTGACCTCGCGCCCACGACTGTATCCTTACGAATACTGGCATTTCATTTAAATGAAAACAGGGCTTATAATAGTTGACATCATAGAATATATATGAATTATCTTTGAGATGAAAGATCTACGTACCTAGTCTCGTATTTTAATTTTTATCCTACAAGTATACGTGTTTCGCCTTACAGCGTTTTAATCCACTAAAGTGTATTGTATTAATTGTTACTTATCTACGTACACGAAAGTTCACTTCCCGATACATAAAAGTCTATAATACTTTCCTAAGCACTCTTTTCATACAAAAAAATCTCTATTGTATAGGTACAAACAGACAACAAAATCTACCCAGTGGTTTCAAAATTAAAGCTTAATGATATGATTCCACATACAAGCTCGTATAACCTTTTATAAAAACTAAGGAAATTCTTAATATCTATCAGACTAAATGTCGGTCATATTTCCCCAGAGAGCAGTGCCTTGCGACAAAATGAGCAACTTTGACAATCCAGTTATAACTTATTCCCTGCTCTTGACTCGTTTAAGATTTGTTCAAGGTTTAAATGGTAAATATTTTTGATATTTGGTGAGATTGATAAAATAGCCGATAATTCGATTTGAATTGCAATTTTGTATAAAAAGCACCACCTTTTTAATGGACATAATCGGCTCGAGTTTTAAACTATATAAATTGCTTTAAGTTTTTACATTTTATAATTTCCTTCATTTCCTCGACATACCATCATCTGATATAACCGTAAGTTCATGGAAATATCAGAAAGGTCCCTTTTAAATAAACAATCTACAGAACGTATGTAACAAGAAAATACATCCTAGCCGATTGAGGACCTCTTTTTTTAACTCGATTAATCGTATGTTTATTTAATATCTAATTTAATTTTTTGTCAATAAAAGGTGGAAACTTAAATAACAACCTAATTATGAAATTAAATTACTAATTAGGATTGTAACAGCCCTTCCTTAGGACAACGATCTTTTTTGCATAACACCCTCGACAACAGCCTTGCGATTCTGTAACTCACTTTTCGACCTCTCACAGCGGTTTTCTCAGCGGCGGTCGCGCTTAAATCAGTCGTGAAGCAGTCATTTTACGATTTGGCATTCTGATAAACAATAAACTACAAGCTCCCTCCGCTTGTCAAGACGTAATGTGAAATTGCTTAGCAGAATACCATGAGATTCCAAAAATGACGTGAGTGACGATGGGAGCGTTGTTAGTGCGAGGTGAACTCACGGATTAACAGAATCGCACGACAGACTGATATTTATGATGGATTTCAAATGTTTCAGCTACGATATGGGCTCCATAGAAAGGTTAATAGTTTTTTGTAACTGAAAATTATTTCGTACGTATCTTATTTTTTATTAGAATAAAGAACAATGCAATAATGCCATCTTTATACACACGAATCGAATGTTTTGTAATTTGTACTATTTAAGTAGTCCTTGTGTAAAGCGACATCTCGAGAAATATTTTGAAGGAAAACATTTGAGAGCCGACTGAAGGGCGACTCGCGGCCTGCAACAAAGATGGCGCCATGTTTTGAACTGCGTAACAATGTACAAGTTTTTGAATCGATAGATTATTATTGCTCATGAATATTTCTGGGTACATATCAATTATCAAATTCTTGTAATGCAACAACCAATATACAATACATCACTACAGAATCAGAACGTATGTGTGTGCTAATTTTTGATAATAATATTTTGAATGTGTTTATAATTCGACTCGATCAGTGGCTCAGTTTTTATCTTTATAAATGCGCATGAACGCGATAAACTCAAATACTAACGAACGTATTGTTGTATGGTTCCGCCAACAGGCAGTGTGAAATATACATATAAAGATGTATATATTATATATACATCTACATTGCTTATTGATTATTTTATGAAAGTTGACTTAAATATATATATACAATACGACTGATTGGCAAAAAATCTTGCCAGAATACACGAAGTCCGCGCGGATCAAGCTGACGGCGGATGCTATGAAATTAATACCCAATTGTTATGATTGAAATCCAGCCCACCTATACAGTTATCAAAGCTTTACTCTCTCACCTCAAGCCAAGTGGTGTGTCCGAATCACAGCGTTACACCAACAGAATTTGTTTTCTATGTGCGCAATATAGGTGAAAAATCTCTATACACAAAGACCACATACTACCAACTAGACTATAAATTATAAGACCAAAGAAACAGATGCAATCTGTAGCCAAGACGTATAGGGTGTACTGGATTAGTAATGTTATAAGTGCAAAAGCGAATGAGTATGTTTGTACGTATAAATACTTCCATACATGCATGCTATTCTTTCATTTTCACTTTCATTATAAAATTGTAAGTGGTATGTATAATTTATTAAGTCAAGTACCTTAAATCATTAAAATGTCAAATGGAGGAGACTAGCTGCCTTTCTCTTTCAACTATAAATACTTTTTTATTATGTAATAAAGTTTATTTTTTTCTTTTCCTTTTATTATGGCTTCTTGCCGGCCAGTGATTGCGTAGTGAACGGCAAGTGGAATTTACTTACAACTTTGCGTTTGTTATCAACGAAGTAGTAAAACAACAAGCGAAGTAATAACACAATGCAGATTGTACTTTATAGTAAGTTATGTTAAGATGTCTTTCTGCTGATTTCTCATGTCAATTATTAAAGATATGATTGTCTTTTGTTTTAAAAATGGTCTTTCAACAAAGCTTCGTCTTAATGTCAAGTTAGTAGATATATCAAGTTAAAACTATGTTCATATTAAACATTATAAATAAATCGTTATTTTTAATCAGTAATTTAGACTAGACTAGAAATTTAATTTAAACTGAATACGATAGGTATTGTGTTTGTATGTTTTTTTTAACTCTTGAACTCTATTTTATTGTATTTTTTTTTAATTTAGTATATTTCTTCTTAGGGAACAATTCAAGTTTTATTCAAAGCACTAAGTCATTTTTGAGATACCACAATATAGATACATATTGTTAACGAATTATTTAGTAATTTTTAAAATTACCATTATTATTAAGTTATTATGCAATCAAATCAAGTTAGAGACTTTCTCTTTCGTTAGTGTCTTCGAATAATTACGATATGTTGTATGAAATTAAAAACTATTTACAAGAAGGAAGGAGTTGCAAACATTTTCCATGAATAATTAAATTGCTTTCGTAATTTGAATCATTAGAGGAGCGAGGGACGAAAGGGAGGGGGAGTCGTTCGTGCGTCACCCTGATCGATGCAGCACTTGTTGCCGCGTTCAACAGGCTCCAAATTTCTATAATAACCAAGGACCTCCAAATCTCATAGGTTACTTGACCTTATTCAGCAATAACGTGATACATTGTCACGTTATTCCAGAAATCATAATAAATAGTTTACTATTTCTGCATTATATGTAGAGTAAATATAAGGTAACATTTTATAACATCACTACAAAGCCTTTTAAAAAGGGCACATATTAACGTATTAAGTATGTTAACGAATTGCATAGGGTACCATTTTCAATGTCCGTTGAGTGACTGACAAAAGTTCTACTATTTGTTAGTTCCGATAATAATTAGTTTTATTTAATTTGAAAATATATTTTTCCAAATTTATTTGTTATGTTTATATTTCGTGTGTGAATTTTTATTGGTTATTCGGTAATTTATTGTAAAATGCTATTTTTAATAATATTGAACAATTGATTTGTTTGATAATTTTAATTGTTACCAATTGTGTTTAGTCTGTAGTCAGTCACTCCTAGGTAGTATGGGCCCACTGAAAATCTATGTTGCCAGTGACAGCAACTTAAAGCTTAGTTAGGCCCATTTCTGATTAAAGAGTGTGGGTTTGTATTTTTTGTAGTAAGTATACGTAATTAACGTTATCTTTCAAAATTCTCGAAATTGAGTAATTTTTTTATATATCAGAGGCTGTTGCGTTACTTCCTACATATCCCATAGAAAATATTGCCTAAAACTTGTCTTAGGAAGGCTAAGAATGCCATCATGTGATATATCATATCTATTACGTGAAGAATTTAATATCTCGTCTATTTTCTACGCTTATTTCCACTAATAATAATATTGAATAATGTTGAAATTGAACTTTATAATTCGGCAAGGAATGCGTCGTTTTAATTAAGTTAACATTTCAATTATTATTGCGCACGGAGTTGTGTGGTCATTTAAAAGTTGCAAGTTTATCCAATAAACTACGAGATACTAAGCGATAGCTCTTGAAATAAATTTAAACTGTGTAGTATAAAAGAACAGTATACTGGTACAAATACATTTATGCGTCTGTTTTCTTGATTACTTCCTTTCGCATGTTACGATGTTCCTCACGATATTTCGCTCCATTCCACTAATGTTTATTATTATATATAAGGATTGATAAAGTATTGTGTCCAAAAAGAAAAACCCATTAGTTTCCGGGGTTCGAAACAGCCTCGCACGGTGAGCCGCAAAGCTACCACGGCTCTCAAGCTAATTAAATGAATATTCATTAATGAATTACTTATGTATGTATTATTATTTTATGTTTTGTATTTTATTATAAATATTAATAATGAACGTCAATATTAAAAACAAATTCAAGCTTTAAATTTACAATTCCATAGCAAGGGCATAGAGCGAGAAAGAAGAACTGGCAAGGACCATTCCTTTTACTATCCAAGTTTCTGGTAAGGAATTTAACAACTCTTCTTCTTCGTAGTCTTGATTACTGAAGGTTGTGTCTGTATTAAAAAACCATAACCGATATGATGGATCCGCTTCCACAATAGCCTTCAATACTTCATTATCAACTTGGGTCTCAGGCCGTCCACGGGGCTTGTTCTGCAGGTCGAAATTTCCAGAACGAAAACGTTGGAACCAAAAACGAACTATGTTTTCTTTTGCAACATGACCGCCATACACATCATTCACCCTTCGATTCGTTTCCGCAGCACTAGTGCCACGGCGGTACTCGTACTCGTAAATAATGCGATACTTTAAGTTTTCCATTTTGTAAAATGAGTGACGCAAACAGAAAAAAACAGAAGAAAAAAACAAATGAATGACGGTGATCGAAGCACAAATACATCAGTAAATAGCTGTACAAATTTGAATTTGGAATTCCTTACCAAAGAGGAGAACATCGTCATTAAAGTGGCCAGTACGAAATACGCCAATTTCATATATAAGGACCTAATTACACGCTTTATACACACACACTGCACAACAGACGGCTACCAAATTAGAAGAGCTTCAACTGGAATAACTGGACTAAGACATCCTCCGTACTTCCCGGACCTTGCTCCAACAGATTACCATTTTTTTTCGAAATTTGGACAACTTCTTGCAAGGGAAAAAATTTAACTCTGATGGGGCAGTCCAAATCGCCTTCACAGGTTTTATTGATTCCCGTCCGACTGATTTTTTTAGTAAAGGGATCAATGAACTACCTATGAGATGGCAAAAGCGCATAGAAAACAATGGTTCATAATTTGATTAATTAAATATATTATATTTAAAAATATTCGACTTTTTGTTCCTCCCATACAAAACGCCAATTTCATATGTAAGGAC